GGCACCGCCTCACCCTCACACCTCTTCTCTCTGACTTGTCCTCTCTCTCTCTCTCTCTCTCTCTCTCTCTCTCTCTCTCTCTCTCTCTCTCTCGCCACCCTACCGATCCTTACAGCTCCTGCGGGTTCTCCTTCCCGTCCTCACGTGGATAATCCGGCACATCCTACCTGCAATCCCCTTGCGTAGTCTCGCCACATATGTCTCCCGTCCCAGAGAGAATCCTCCCCTCCCCCTCGCCCCTGTCCCCGCACCCGCACGGCCCGAGCCATCTCGACGGTAAACCTTAAGCCTTGGCGGTAACCCCCTCCTCCTGTTCTGCTTACAGACAACGACACGGTGCTCGTCGACCTCGGCGGGGACCTTCTGGACGACGAGGAGGTTTTCGTGCCTCTGACGTCCTCCGCGGCCGCGCCAACCGCCCCTCCTCCGGCGACGCCGACATCGCCGTCGCCGGCGCCGTCACCCGACCTGCAAGCCTCGGTGACGGCGTCGTCCGCGGGTGTCGCCGCGGACTTCGGTGCCCTGAACCGCCAGCCTCTCATCGGCGACCCGCCGACGCCACCGCCGACATCCCTCTCAGTGCAGGCAGCGGCGCCGCGGGCCGTCAACCCCTTCGCCTACAACGTGTCCTCGGTGCTGGAGGGCGGGCGCGCGGTGCCCACCTCCACGTCGCCCGCGCCCCAAATCGTGCCTATCGGTTTCATGCGGCGACCAGAGGGAAGGCCTGATGGTGGCGCGCAGGCGCAGCTGCCGCCGCCCGCCCTCAAAAAGCACATGCACTCGGCACAGGGCCACTTCGGGCCGTACTTCGAGGACGGCGCCGGGCCCCATAACATCACCACTCGGGTGGGCAGCACCGTCACCCTTAACTGCAGAGTGGGCATGCTGTCGGACAAGACGGTAAGTATCAACAATTTAATCACAAAACCGAACCTAAATGTGCTATATTGGTTTCCAGAGGATGGTTTATGGGGTATCTGCCTCTCGAAAAGGATATATTTAGGGAAGCATAGAAGACATTGCAGTTAACTTTGCCAGTGTTTTGTGTGGGCTGGTGGGCGGCACTCGTGCAGTCTGCAGCGGAGCGACTGCACTCCGCTCACTGTGCTCTCGCACGCGCTCGCTCGGCAAAAAACCAAAAGACCGATCGGATCGGATTACTGTGACGTCCATTCGGACTGATGAAAAATGCAGCGCGGACAAAAAGGTATATTTTGTGGCAAGAATCTGGGCAGCGTGGTCGAACGGGCGAACGGGCGGTGCCCCAGAGCCACGCCAGCCAGAGCGGTAGGGGAGGGGGCGCTTGTCGATTAGCTGGGCCCGCGGAGCGCGGCCAAATGTGGCGGACTCTCTTTTTCGAGTATTCCCCGGGCTGCGACTACAGTGATCGTTACAAATGCACCTCGTCTCCTGAACGACGCCCCTGAGAAGGTGTGGCTGGGAGGGCAACTGGGTCGTCGGGGTGGCCGGTCGGGAAGAGCTCGGCAGAGGTTGACAGGACCACGGGGCGCCCTCGACTCGCTCCTCCTCCTCAACCCTCCTGCTCTGAACGCGGCACTACTGTCTTGCAGCCGAGCATTGATAGAAACCGTTCGAGCGCCTAACCTACTTTGTTTGCCCTCAGCAGTGTCTGTGTGTGAGGGGTTCGTCCGTATTCTCCCCCCTTTTACAGAAAAAGAGCGTATCCGCACACTTGCTTGCACACACCCACACAGTCGCAGAAACCTTTTCACGCGCCCTACGAGGCATGCGGATCAAGAGACAATATTTGCATGGCGTGCACTTCCAGGGCATCAAAAGCGTCTTTCTACCTCGAGGAGATGGGGTGGAGCTCGGAGAAGTCGGAGGAGAGTAAGGGGGAGGGGGGCAGTAGAGGTTGATCCGCTACGCGCCACTCCGCGCAACCCGCGGTGCACACGAAAGCGAATTGGATTGCGGCAGCAGCTCGGGATGCAGCAGCGTGCTTCTCGATCCCGTGATGATTTTCTCCTTCATGCCACCGTGAGTGACTCCACCAGAAGATACTCTCCCTCCTCCCTCTCTGTCGTGTGTGCTGTGCGGCAACCCTTGGGATACGCGAACGGGTGGAGAAGTGGAGCAAATCCACGGCAGTTTATTTTCTCAGCCGCACGCTGACCGCCGCTCCTCGAGCAAGCCTGGCTTGATCCTGATCTGTACACAGCTATATGTTTTGAAATGTGCCTGACCGAGGAGGACCAAGAAAAACACATAATTTGCTCTCAGATCTTAATAAAA